ATAACACCAATGTTACGGCTTACTTATTAGTATTATGAAAAAATTAGATGAATTCGTTACGTAAACTTTGCGAGTATTGTGAAATCATGACATTTTTTTTTTTTGCGGATTGGAAACACTATTTTTGACCTCTATGTAAAATTTCATGTCAATATATTCCATTGCTGTAGAGTTTTTTTGTTTTTGGTGACTATTCTACGCCGCAAAGAAACTGTGACGCAAACACTGCGAAGAGCGACCAAAAGCTCAAGCGACATCTAAAGATGAAACATGGTCGTCAAAGAAATAAAAGATTTGGTCTCCGAAAATCAGAGATCGGATGATAAGACCATTTCATTTGGTTCAACCTAGACCATTTTAAAAGTTGTTGTGTGTTTCAAACACGCCAAATTTGGACTGATTTCAAATGCAACAATTTATTGGAGACGGAGTGTCGTCTTGGAATCAGTGATATAACGAGTTCTAACTACCATTACGTCATGAGAAGCACCATTGCGGGTAATGGCATTTGGCGAGAAGTACTTGAGGGTCGACGGAATTAAAAGCTCTTCATTTTAAAAACGAATTAATTTTAATTTCTGAACACAGTAGCATGCGCAATATAAAAACGTTCGGGAATATTTTTCTAGATCACACCCAATCAATTGGGCAAGGTAAAGCAGAATGGACGATCGGTCGAGTGGAGCACTGCGTAGTGGAAAGTATCACAATGAAATGAAACAATTTGATTAAAGTTAACATGTCACCAACGGTAAAAAATGCAATGCTAAGTCACATCAGTTATGCATGATTATTGGCAACACAATCGTAAACTTCTGTACTTCAAAAGAACGATAATAGAATCTGCTTGTCTTTCCGCAAGGACATAAGGTTGTACCTAGAGGAAAGCATGCCAAGAAAAATAGGCTAGGGAAATGTGCAATATTTGATGCCCGTTTGGTATCCATAGGTTGTAATCAACGGTAGGAATTCGATTACATCGAAGCATTTTTACTTATGTTTTAAGAATTCAGAAAAAAAATTTTTCTTTCCAAAACGAGGTTATATGCACTGAAACAGTTCGGCGATGCTTGCAACGCTTGCTTCGTTCAAAAGCATGGGTCTCAGAGTAAGCAATTGTGATAAGCGTTTATACTAAAAAGGGTGTGATGGTGAACTTATCTTCATAGTGGCACACTACGGGGTCTGACACCATGAGGCATTCTCGTTTTCACGTTTAAAACTCCCAAGTGGTAAACAGATTGGGCAACCGCGCTTCTATATTGTTCACAGGAAAATGTGAACAAAAACATGCTGTTTTAGAACCGAAAATAAAGAAATCAATGTAAATGTAAACAAAAAATTTCAATCAATCTTTATCACTTATCAATAAACGAGCGTTACAATTGTTAGTTTGGGGAAAAAGAAATCCATTATTTTTTCGGTAGATGGCTGCACTGATAGATTTCTCGTAAAGTATCGATAAAACAATTTCATATTTATGCTCGTTGGAAAGGTGACATTTCGCAGTAAAAAAAATTCTTTTGCTATTTTTTGTTTGGTGCATTCAGTTGTGAGTTACAGCGTGTTAAAAATGGAAGTGAACAAAGAGAAAATTCGGTACATTTTACAGTTTTTCTTTGACAAAGGCGAAAATGCAAGCCATGTGGCTAAAATTGCGAATGGTGTTTATGGTTCCGATGCTGTAACAGCCAATTATGTGCAGTTTTGGTTTCGTAGATTCCGTTCAGGAATTTTTGATGTTAAAGATGCACCTCGCACAGGTAGGTCGGTCGTCGAAAATGTCGATAAAATCGGAGAAATGATCGAAGTTGACCGGCATGTTAGCAGTCGTAACATCGCGCAGGAGCTAAAAATCGACCATAAAACAGTTTTAAACCATTTATACAAAGCTGGATTCAAAAAGAAGCTCGATGTTTGGGTGCCACACCAATTAACAGAAAAAAACATTGTGGATCGAATTTCCATCTGCGAAGCCTTGGCCAAATGGAATGAGATAGACCAATTTCTTAAACGGATGGTGACTGGAGATGAGAAATGGATCACATACGATAACCCTGTGCGAAAACGATCGTGGTCAAAGAGCAGTGAAGCACCTCAAACGGCCAGGAAGGTTTTGCTATGCATTTCGTGAGACTGGAAGGGGATTATTTATTATGAGTTGCTTCCATATGGCCAAACGCTAAATTCTGATCTCTACTGTCAACAACTGGACCGTTTGAAGATAGCGATTGACCAGAAACGGCCAGAATTGGACAACAGGAGAGGTGTCGTGTTCCACCAGGACAACGCTAGGCCACACACATCTACAGTGACTCCCCAGAAACTTCGGGAGCTTGGTTGGGAAGTTTTAATGCATCCGCCATACAGTCCGGACTTGGCACCAAGCGATTATCATCTTTTTCTTGCATTGCAAAATTTCTTTAATGATAAAAAATTGGAATCTAGGAAGGATTGTGAAAATCGACTACTAGAGTTTTTTGCAAATAGAGACCAGGACTTCTATGAGAGAGGCATTTTGAAGTTACCTTTAAAATGACAACAAATCGTACAACAAAACGGTGCCTATTTGACCCAAATCGGACAATCCGAAGCATGTTAAATAAAGTCCTGAAAAATAATGGATTTCTTTTTCCCCAACCTAATATTACATTATCTCAAATAATAGAGCACCGGTTGACGTTTACAAAGAAGTAAAAGTCAAATGTAGAAGATTACG